ACACGCAGGCGCTTCTGCAGCACCATCTCTACAGCCACGACGCGGCAAGCATCGATGTGCTGCGCAAGCAGACCAAGCATGTGGGCGCAGCGATCGCGGGTGCGCACGAGGTGGCTGAGAAGATGACGCGCGAGGTGCGTCTTCTTGGGCGCGTCCAGGAGCGCGTCAAGGCGTCCATCGAGCGGAGCGATGGCATTTTGCGCGTACGCCAGAGCATGCAGCGGCTCCAAGCGTGCATGCACGAGCGCAACTACAAGGACGCCGCAGCGTGCCTGAAGGAGCTCCGGGACATTGAGGCGCTTTCGATTCCGATCGACGTCGGCGACAAGCTGCGCATGAACAGCGCCGAGAACGACATTCGCGACGCGATCGAGCGGCAAATGAGCGCTGCGCTGCACGCGAAGGACGAGGCCGCCGTCTTGCGCCTCGGCAGCATCTTCGAGCCCATGTTGTTTGCCGAAGAAGGCGTCAGCATGGTGCTTGCGTTCGTCGCGTCGCAACTCGAGGAGCGTCTCGCGCCATCGTCGTCTCTGCAGCGCCTCTCGATCCACGACCTCACGTCGCACTTGATCCACGTACGTCTTTCCAATCGCACGCACTTTTTTCTCTTTTGTAATCCGATCGCACGCAGGTGTTCAACACGGTCGCCGAGGTGACTCTGCGCTTTGAGCCACTCATGCTGCAGTCGTTTGGCTCGGTGCGCGGTGCTGAGCGGCTCCTGAGTCGCGTCTACAACGTCGCAAGCCCGATCGCAGTGCGCCTTCTCGACGCGTACATTGCCCAGCGTGGGCTCGCCGACTTGATCCACAAGGCCCGACACCTCCCGGACGCCACCGGACCCAATATCAAGGTGGCGGCAGAGAACGCCGTCGACTGGAACCCGCAGCTCAACGAAGTCGCAGTTGTCCTTCAGCATTCCCAGACCTACGAGCGGTTCGTACGGGCTCGGGACGTCTTCTACATGGCCCGGTCGTCCTCGCCCACTGGCTCGCTTCTCGCGTCGTTCAATGCAAGTCCGCTGAATACGAGCGTCCAGGAGCTCGCCGCACTCTACTGTGCGCTCGAGGACGTCTGCCTCTCAGCGTCGACCAAGAAGGCCCTGGCGACCGAGGAGATGCGCTCGATCGCGAGCCACTCGGCGTTGATTCCGGTCTCGTCGATCATTGACGAAGTGTTTTACGTCGCGCGCAATGGCGCGTGCCGGGCGCTCGCGACGGGCCACGTCGACGCGGCCTGCGGTGTCCTCAACCTCGTCGCGACCTTGCTCGAGACGACGTTGTATGACGTGATCAAGAGCCGCGTCCGGGCCCTGCCGCGGGAGATGCGCGAGGCAGGGCCGCTCACGGGCCTTCTCACCAACTTGCAGTCGAGCACACAGCTCCGCGATCAGATCCAAACGATTGCGACGCTGGGCAAGAAGATGACGTCGCGCAACTTGAACAGCACGCCGCCAGCCTCGACGAATGCGTCTGGCCCACTCACGCCCGTGCTGGCGCCGCCCGTGACGCTCAATAGCATTGGCACGATCCTCTCGTACCTCGCGCAGCTGCAAGCGACCTTGGAAGCCGACGCGATGGCCGCGTTCTCGGATCCATTGCCCGCCCACATCAAGAGCTGTCTCTCAGGTGATCATCTCTCTCAACCACGAGGTACCAAGGCCGCTCGTAGGCCTCCAAGATGCGGCCAAAGGCTACAAGGCGCTCCTCGAGACCGCCATGTCGCACATCGCCAGCGTCTTTCAACCCAAGCTGGCCTCGTTTCTGAGCCCGATTTTGAAAAAGACGTCGTTCGACTTGACGGACGCCATGTTCGCCGCCAACGAAGTCAACGATCCGTTTGCGGCCTCGCTCGTGACGCAGCTACGCCTGCTTCTCGACCCGTACGAAGAGCACCTGGCGCGCGAGACGTTCGAGCAGCTCGTCGACGCCGTCACGGTGGTGGTTGCAGAGCTCCTCGAAGGCCTCTTGCTGACAAAACTCGTGCCCTTCAACCAGCTTGGTGCGATGCAGCTCGAAAAGGACGTCCGCGTGGTTGCTAACTACCTCGGGGAGAAGGTCCAGTTCAACCACGCCCACCACCGGGCCTTTGGGACCCTTCGGCAATGCGTCATGGTTCTCAACGTCGATGTACCCGACGACGTGCTCGAGTTCTACGGCCGACCGACGACGAGAGGCGTCGTCGACTGGAAGCTCGGGGCCGGTCGCGTGATCGAGCTCCTCCAGGCGCGGGTGGAGTTTACGACGGTCGAGATTGCAGCGATCGAGCTCGCGTGAGGAGTTTATTGAATCAGGATCATCCAGCTGATAAAGATGTAAAAGAGCAACACCGGGTACACCGTGAGCGCCTTCTTCTTGGGCGGCACCAGCTGCGACATGAAGACGACGGACGCTATGCGACGACGTGGTCAGCATGGGGACGAGGTGGGAGGCGAACGAACCGCGCGTGGACCAGACAAATCCGACGCCGACGAGGATCAGGCGGATCGTCACGTGCGACGACACGACGCGCGTGAGGAAGCATGCGAGCGTCGCAATCACCAGCGGAAAGACGCAGTAGCCCAAGACGCAGATGCTCTGGAAGAACGAACTAGCGAAAGGATGAGACGCATGTAGGCAAAACGGATGAAGTCCATACATGGTGCTGCCGAGGAGCTGCGCGTTGACCGTCACGACGGCGGCGCCGACCCACACGACGACAAAGACACTTGTAAACACCATCGCCGACTGGTTCGCGGGCGCCGTGAGGCTCAAGAGACTAGACATAGTATATCGTCAGGAGCACGTCATGGCCAGCGACGCCGTACATGGAGAGCATGAGGCAAACCATGAGCGGGCCCCAGAGGTCCCAGTCGCGCAGCGCTTGGAGCGTCTCGTCCGACGTGTTGCGTGGCATCAACACCACCTTGAGCTTCGAGCCGACGAGCCGGACGTCGCGCAGCTACGCCGGAAGCATGAGCGCCTAGCCTACCCAAGGTCATCGCCTCTTTACGATGGTCTCGGACACGGGCTCGTCCAGCGTGTTCTCGCGCGTCGCATGGATGCTGCCTGACACCGCGTCTGCCATCTCTTCCTGGGATCGTTCGAAATGCTTGTCTGCCAGAAGGGGTTTCCGGATACGGTATCCGGTAATAGGATAAAAACACACAAACAACGAGCCCGCGATTATCTTGGTGCCATCACCGCGCCTTCCAGCGCTCACTTGCTACGTCGCCACGCGCTACTTTCGAGAGCCGCCTCGTGCTAGCTCTGCCATATTGCTCGATGGCCTCGGGTTGTGTCCTCGTAAGCGTTTAAATGGCGCTAAAACACCACGTCGCAACCAGGTGCATGCAATAAGGTACAGTTCCTCAATTCAATATTGACATGTGAAGTGATGTACCCTTGATGCAGCCCACGCCGTGCACGTTGAAGCGCTACCACCAAGTATACCTGCCTCGTTGACGGTCTTTCAGCCACGTTGACGGATAAAAACATCGATTTTCGATGCTTTCCGTGGGAACATTAGAGCGTTGCCACCTCGTTCAATTTCATACTTGGTGAGCGACCATGGGCGGCAAGCCAACGAAGGAGAAGCAGATCGTGGTCGAGGAGATCTTGCACCGCGACTTTACGTATGGCACGGCCGCATCCGACTGCGTCCAGCACTACATGCCGCCCAACTTTCCGATGCGCCCGATCCTCAACACGGCGTACCTCCTCGACTGCAGCAAGAGCTGGAAGCTCATTGTGACGGCGAATACGGACCGCATGCGGCAATATGGCAAGTCGGGTATCGTGCTCTTCTACGACGAGTTCTTCTTCCGGCTCTTCCAACGCGACTTTACGCTCGAAGAAGTCTTCCCCGACATTGGCAAGCGTGGCGAAGTGCTCGTCAAGGCCATGACATTCATGCTCAAGAGCTCGGCCGAGAACCCGAAGCAGATCGTCAACAAGTGCCACTACCTTGGCCACCGCCACCGCAGCTTTGGCGGCGTCCGGCCGCACCACTGGGCGCAGTACACGAGTACGGTCATTGAGGTCATCATGTACTGGCTTGGCGAGTACGCGTCGCCGGACGTCGGCGCTGCATGGTCCAACATTGTGGGCTTCTTCCTCATGCACATCCTCGAGTCGTTCTTGAACGACAAGGTCGACCCGTTCGAGAGCTACCAAAACTCGATCATTAGCGCCGTCCAAGAAATCACCGCGTCCCACGACGAAGAGTCAGAGCGCACGTCGGCGAAAGCCGACCCACAAAACGCCGGCATGAGTGGTCCAAGCCTCATGTAGCTCGTTGGAATCCAATACTCTGTTCAAAACTTTACATGCAATACAGTATCTGTCCATGCGTCTGCTCGAATGGCTGTGAGTGGCTCACGGCCAATATCGGAGAGGCCGCACGCGCTTCTGAGGCTCTCGGCTGCAGGACGAGGGCTTTCCTGCACACCGGTGAAGACACCCAGTCACAGATTTAGTCCCACCGCTTCGCATCTTGCCTACTACACCGTCCGTGACCAATATGGGTCACATTGTGAGGTGGACAGCGTGAACAGGTGCAGAATACCGAGTCTGTAGGTGCGAGTTGGGTTCGGAGTGCCATAGACCCATCGGTGGGATCGACACGGGATGACTCGGCAACTTCTGTTCACGTCCGCTTTTCCAAACACAAGTTACGCGCACGCGGCCTCCATCATGCCAACGCAAGTCTTCAAGAAGAGGGCATTGCGGCGAGGACGTAGGATGACACTACATCGTCAACGTCGCAGCACTGTTAGTGTGTTCTAGCATCATCACGATGCAACCGTCTTCGTCATGTCGCTATGGCAACTCATTTCGTGCAACGAAAAGAAAGTACTTGTGTGCCACGGAAAGAGTATGTGTCTGCAGCTATCCGACGCTGAGACGCTTGCTCGAACGGTGACGGCTGACGGGCGGCGGTGGGTCGTTGGGCCCGGCGGTGTTGAGGTACAGTGCAGGGTTGAGCCGCTCGTTCGCGCGGTGCAGCATCGCAGGCAAATCAATGGACGCGGCCAGTGTGAGCTGCGCGTAGCCGTCGCTCGCTTGCGCGTCGAGCGCGCCTGGCATGCGCTGGAGTTGCGTGTGCACCGCGCCGAGAAGTCGATACCGCTGGGCTTTCTTTCGCACGCGACTCCGCGGTGCGTCCTTCTCCAGGCCCTGGAGGCACTCGAGGAGGTACGGGTACAAGTCGTCCTACGCACGACGTGGCTAAGAACTCACGCGTTTGACTTGAACAACCTCGAGGGCTCGGAACCGGCGGCGCAGCGACCCTTCGTACTCGGCAAGCACTTGATCGACGATGTCCAGGCGCAGCGCGAGTTCAAAATTCGGGTACGGGTATGGCAGCGTCGGGTACGGCCGCTTCGTTTCCTGCACGACGACCTCTGGTTTCTTGGAGCGCCGGTGCCCCGCGGCTGGCTTCTTGTCTTGCTTCGCGGGTAGGATCTCGGGCTCGGGCAGCACGCTTGGCGGCGGCTCCACGAGCTCAAAGTCATACCACATGCGCAGTAGCTTGCGTCGCCGGTACGCGTGGATCGCCGCGTGCTGGCGCCAAAACGTTTGGACAAGCG